CGTGCCGGAAGCCCTCCCCGCCGGCGCGCGGGGGCGGCGGGGGAAGGGCTAGGTCGGGAGGGGAAGGGGCATGTTTTTAACTCCTCTTGGGTGGCAAGTGCAATTATTGACGATTGCTATTTCATGTCGTCAGATTTTAATCATGTAATTTATGATCATTGTAATATAGAGAGAGTAATAAAGTAGCTCGCGAACTTGCTAGGATAATTAATTTTTCTCCTCCTATCTGAATGAATTCGGCATTGGATGTACTTCTTCCATCCATTACTTGTAAAGGATGCCACTATTTTGCTAAGTGAAAAAAGGAGGAGAAGTTCTGTCAAAAAAATAAATTCGGTAGTTCTTATAAAAAAAATGAAATTCTGTAATTGTGCAGGATCGAATCGGGCACTCACTATTTCCACGTACCCGGTTAGAACCCGAATGCGCTAGTCGAGAGGAAGTGGGTCAGATCTGAACCCGGAAGACAAGAGGGACAGCTTGCCGCAAAACCCACTCCCGTGTTCCTCGCTAATCCCCATTTCCCACAAACCCCCGTCCCCTCGCCGCCTCCTCCCACGGCGAGAAGCTTCCAGGAGCTAGGGTTTCCCGTACCGATCGATGGCCGTCGCCGACGCGGTGCTGCCCTCGCCGCCGCTCCCGCCCCCGCCCCCGCCCCCGCCCCCGCCCCCGCCGGCGCGGATCGTCGTCGTGGTGCTGGCGCTCGTGCACTTGGCCCTCGCCCCGATGCTGGCGCTGGGGCGCGCCCTCTGCGTCGCGGCGGGAGCCCTCCCCTACCTGGGCTTCGGGGTCGCGTGGGTCATCTCCGCGGCCACGGCTGGACAGGTCGTGGCGAGCCGCGCCTGGGGCGAGAGCTCCGCCCAATTCGTGTTCCTGCAGGCCATCATGTACTGGGGCCTCAAGGTCCTCATCTACAGTATCCTTGTGCTGGTCGCGCTTCTCGTCTTGTTGATGTGCGTGGCCTACGTGATTGCACTTGTATCTGGATCCACTTCGGCATTCAAGAAGGTATCGCGCAAATTGACTCCCTGTGATCTTTATTCCGGTCGAATTACAGTAGTACATAGGCCAGTGTTATCATTATGTTCTAATTAAGTTGCCATATATATTATGTTAGTAATTAATTTCGTAGTTCAGGTTGTCCTGATGAGTAGTATTAGTAGTTTATTGTGCAAATTGACTCCCTGTGATCTTTATTGTGGTCGAATTGCAGCAGTAATGCAGTACATATGCTAGTGGATGAGCCCATTGTTAGAATTATGTTCTAACTAAGTTTCAATATACAGTTCAGGTTGTCCTGATCAGTGGTACTACTAATTTTTTCCATGTGTGTTCATGTTCATCACTTCATTTGCATCCTTCCATTTCCGAACCATTCCATACATACTCATGCTCATCCCTGTGGTTTTGTTGAAATTGCTGTCCTCAGAGCGCATCAGGAGCATTCACGCGGGAGTCGGTTGCAGACATGTTTAGGCTTCCGCGCACCGCGGTGCTTGGATATGTTGCGGATGTGGCCTTCTTCCTTCTAATGGTCGCTGGTCTTCTGGTGGCGATGCTGTCGCCGCACGTGGAGGGTTCGATATCTCAGGGTGAAATGGTCGCCTCCGTAATCATAGATGTGGCACTATTTGGTATGCACGCGACAGCTTGCTTTGTTATCATCCCAGCGCTCGTTCTTAGTGTGTGGAGGGGTGGCCAGGCGGACAGGAAAGCGCCATCGCAGTTTTGTTGAGGTATACTACTCCCTTTGCTTTGCCCCCTGTATCTGTGAGCCATATGGTCTTTTCAATTATAATCTGCATATTTTGTGTATCCTCCTCATAGAATGAAAACAGTCCTCCGGTGTTGTTGATTACTGCCTACTGCTGTTGATATTTGTTATTATGATGGAGCATCGTTGCATATCAAACCAATGAGGTTTTTGCTATTTCCTCTGGTCATTGCATAGTAAATTGGGATTGGCATCATTCTTAAATCGTGCAAGTAGCCAACTGATGCAGTTCTACCGTATGCTTTTGTTAGGAAGTGATGATAGCAAAAACGATCAGTTCTATGTATTAGAAAAAAAGCAAATCAAATTGCTTACGCTCCATCACTCATTGTGATCGTTGTATCTCTGCAGTGAGTGTGATTATAACAATGTTTGCATGCTTCCAAACTGTTTGCAAGCACCTTTCTTGAGTTTTCTTGTCATTACTAATTTCTCCATCGAAACCGATGGGAAGGCCCAAAGTTTTGAAGTTTTAGCTATGGCATACGAGTCTACTCTTCTTAGCTGCATTTGGCATGTTAGAGTTGTGTCGAATATTGTGTACAAAGTAGGTTACAGTTGGACTCTGAATTGTATTGTGTTTAGATAGAATATGGAGTCGTGTCCTAGTAGGACATTTGTATCCTAGGTCTCTCATATATAGCGGGGCTAGACACACGATCTAACCTATGCCAACATAATAACACCGGAACGCAGGGGAAGCCGGCGGGATGTGCCGGTATCCAGGGCGACCGGATGCAGTATTGTAACGGTGTCACGGGGAGGAGCGCCCGTAGTCAGGCCCCGGGGATGTAGCCATATCGGTGAACCTCGTTAACAAATCTCGGTGTCATGCTCGTGTGATTGCTTGGTCCTCGGATGATCGACGAAGTGCCTCGGATTTATTCTAGCAAGTGGTATCATGAGCTAGGTTATTTGGAGGCTGCAGATAGTTGATCTAGAGGCAGATAGTTGATCTAGAGGAAGGAAGGAAGAAAGCATCGACGGAAGTCTGCAGGAAGCAATCCTAATACGGGATATGTCATCGGCGAGTTAGGATGCAGGAGCAGATGTATTGGTCGTCTTGTAATCTTCGGTGAAGCAATTGGAAGCGAGCAGCAGAATCGGCGAGTTCAACGGTACAAGGCGAACGACACGAAAATCGGATATCAGGCAGGCTGGCAGCAGTTTTCGGCGACTCGGCAAGATCGAGCAATCGAGATCGGAATTTTTTTTGAGACAAAATCGAGATCGGATGGTGGCCGAGTGGCAGCGCTCGCAGAGGCGAGCGACAGCAGAGGCTTGTGGCCCAGGTAGGGCGCCAGTGGCTGCCAAGGCCCGACTGTGATGGCCCAAGGCCCATAGGGGTGCGGCTGTGCAGGCAGCCCATGGCTGGGGTGGCGGCTGATGACCTGAACGAGGCCGGCTGCTAGCGCGTGGTGGCCAGGCGCTGGATCGCTGAAGATGGGCAATGAGCTGGCAAGGCTTGCACGTTTGCGTGGGATTTGTTTGAAAAAAATTTGACACAAAGACTAGTCCTTCGCCGGGATGCTATCAAGAAGAAAGAAAGAAGATAAGCCCAGGAGCTATATACGTGTGTTGTTCACACGAGAAGGCTATGAGGGATTTTGCTTTGTTTTTCTTTGCTGGTACACTTTTGTGTATGGATGGCGTTGGATACGGTGACGGCTTGAGGAGTCTGGAGTGTGTCATGCAGTCGGATATGTTCGGTTGGGTCGGACTAGACAGTCTGACGGATCGACGCGAGTCGGTTTGGTACAGAAGACGGCGGTGGGATCGGCGACGATGACATAGGAGCGTGATGCTGATGGTGACCGACTTCTGGGCGTGGAAACACGTGGCGCAGACCTGAGGGCTTGTGCGGCTTCAACAAGACTATGGCGCGGGGTTGATTCAAGACGGTGCGCACATGAGAGCTTGGAGTCAACGAAGCACGGGGTGGCACGTACAACCACCATGGAGTCATGCTGAAGATGGAGCTAGATTGAGGGGCTACGGCGTAAGTGCACAGAGAGTCGAAGCCTATTCAGCGGGATGAAAAAGCGAGGGACACGTAGTTCGGACTGGAGCCCAATGGTCTGATGGAAGCGTGAAACTCGTCACCGGTCGGTGATGATCGGTGGTACTCTGCAGTGGGGGTTGAGTAGTGTGGGTTCACGACCCTTGAGACTCGACCGGGACAGCGGAGGCTCGACGCGATAATAGCGGCGAGGCGTGCGGTACGCACGGGACATGGAGACGGGACAGGGCTCTGGTGGTCATACATGTGGTGAGACAACTGCAAATTTGACTCAGGATGACTACAAGCAATGGTGAAATTCCTTCGAGTTTCAGACAGGCTGTCAAGAAAGGAGCAGTGATGTTGAGTTCTGGTAACTCTTATGTGTGACACCCAATATGTGAGTTGTTCACTTTCACGCAGGTCATGATCGGTGTGTGATGATGTTGACGGATACTCTAGAAGTTGGAAGCACAACCTAGAGTAAAGAGGAACTTAATTTTGCTCGAGTGTTGACTGTGGTCAAGAAAAGAAGGGACTACAAGTTGCAGGAGGAGTCATATGGAGTCTTTGGAGTAGCAGCGGTTCTCATGGGATAAGCTCAAGTTCAATGTACATGGAAGTTTGACGCATTGACAAATTCAAGGTGGTGGAGAATATTCGCCAAAGTGGAGTTTGTTAGAGTTGTGTTGAATATTGTGTATAAAGTAGGTTACAGTTGGACTCTGAATTGTATTGTGTTTAGATAGGATATGGAGTCGTGTCCTAGTAGGACACTTGTATCCTAGGCCTCTCATATATAGCGGGGCTAGACACACGATGTAACCTATGCCAACATAATAGCACCGGAACGCAGGGGAAGCCGGCGGCATGTGCCGGTGTCCAGGGCGACCGGATGCAGTATTGTAACGGTGTTACGGGGAGGAGTGCCCGTAGTTAGGCCCCGGGGATGTAGCCATATCGGTGAACCTCGTTAACAAATCTCGGTGTCGTGCTCGTGTGATTGCTTGGTCCTTGGATGATCGACGGAGTGCCTCGGATTTATTCTAACATGGCATTTATTACTTTATACCATGTTCCGTCACTCTGGTAAAAAGGAGTGAACTGTTTGATCTTAGTAAATAAATAACAAGACGGTAAAATGGCACACCTCTAGTCCTTTTAATAATTATCAATTTTTATGTGGCGCTATGCCCACTACATTTTGGTAGAATTGCCATTGTGCCTTTGTCCCCTGTTCTGTGACTCACTTTAATGCTTTTATACTTCAGTAAAAAGAAGTAAACTGTTTGATCATGTAATAAATAAATAACATGACAGTAAATGGATGCACATCTAGTACTTTATGGTGGTGCTATGCCACTACATTTTGGTAGATGCCCCTTTGAGAACAGTTAATATCTGATGTTGCAAGTTCATATCATCAGTTGTGTGTTTGTTAGCACTACGAATTGAATGGACGAGAAAGATTCAAATTCTGTAATATCTCACAAGATAGAAGTTACTTCATTGCTGGAACATGAATGACATGGTCTTTAGATTTACAGTACTTGAAGTTACATTGTTGGATGGTTAATGTTGATATGACAATGTTCTTTTATGTGGTAATCTGATGAAATCTTCGGTTGGGTTATTGGCAGACGAAGCTAAGAAGAGAAGATATCCGGGGATTTTGGCAAGGCCCAATCGTCATTCCACTGATGGTTGTGAGTGATTCCAACAGATACAAGTTTTCAGAGGGAAAAGAGAGTTTATGCAGACTTGCTTCGTCCATTAGTAGTCAATCCTAATTGGCATTACCATGGAAACCTTTTTAGACTTGCTTATTTGTGCTATTACTAGATCATAATCATCAATAGCTAGCCGTGAAGTTTGGTGGATCATTATGGGTCTGGTGACGATGTTCGATACTACTCCTCCGGGCTACTTGCTTACAAGTTTGCACTAGAGTATTGTGTATATATGATGGTGGAATTCGTTTGTGGTCTCTTTGTGATACCCTATTGGAAGAAAACGCGTACATGTGACATTAATCTCGTGAATTCACTGCGGTCGATTTGGATTCTTATATGTTGTATGCACGGTAGTAACGTTTTGCAAGTGCCAATTGGGTTATGTATGCGTTGCCATTTCGACAAGAGTATTGCAGTTTCCATCCTCGTGTTGGCTGCTGAACTTTGTCACATTTTTTTAACATTATGATGATCCACTGGTAGAAAAAGGGCATGTTGTCCCGGTTCGTAAGGGCCTTTAGTCCCGGTTTCTGAACCGGGACTAAAGTGTCGGTACTAATGCCCTGTCCCTTTAGTCCCGGTTCAATCCAGAACCGGGACTGATGGGCCTCCACGTGGCCTGTGCGCAGAGCTCAGGCAGGAGACCCTTTGATCCCGGTTGGTGGCACCAACCAGGACCAATAGGCATTCACGCGTCAGCATTTCTGTGGCTG